GGCGGGCGGATGAGCTCGGAAGTGCTCGGGAGTTCCCTGCCACTGGAAGAGAGTAAGGCTGCATGGGTTAGGACAAGGGTAGGGGGGATGTAGGCATCCACTTGGGTGGGAGATAAGTGGAGGACTTAACCGAAAACTGGAAAAATACAGTTAGACCACATGCTCCTACAACTCCCTGAGTTCCACCCACAAAGATTTGGGAATGTGTTTGCTCTTTGACTACTCCCAGACATGCTGTCCCACCAACTGTCAGGTGCTGAGCATTATATATGTCCAGTTCCTTAGTGAGCTGGTGCTGGTAGACTTTGTCAGGTCAGATTTCCACCTGTTTGGTGAGCTGCACTGAGCCCCTGAGGGGTCAGATGAACCAGCACAAGAGAAACAGTGGATCACACGGCCAGGACCAGGAGGAAGAATCATAGAATCATAGAAATTTTTTGTTGGAAAATACCTTTAATATCACAAGTTCGACCACTAACCCAGCACTCCCAAGTCCACGACCAAATCATGTCCCTAAGCCACACATCTACACACCTTTTAAATACTTCCAGGGATGGTGACTCCACCACTTCCCAGGGCAGCCTGTGCCAGTGCCTGACAATCCTTGCAGTGAAGAAATTTTTCCTAATATCCAATCTAAATCTCCCCTGGTAAAACTTCAGGCCATTTCCTCCTGTCCTATTGCTTGTTACTTGGGAGAAGAGACCAACCCCCACCTTGCTACAACCTCCTTTCAGATAGTTGTAGAGAGCAATAAGGTCTTCCCTCAGCCTTCTTTTCTCCAGTTCCTTCAGATGCTCCTTGCAAGACTTGTTCTACACACCCTTCACCAGCTTCACTGCCCTTCTTTGGACATACTTCAGGACCTCAATGTCTTTCTTGGAGTGAGGGCCCCAGAACTGAACACAGTAGTTGAGATGCAGCCTCACCAGTGCTGAGTACAGGGGGACAATCTCTTCCCACACTATTCCTAACACAAGCCAGGATGCCTGTGGCCTTCTTGGCCACCTGGGCACACTGCTGGCTCATATTCAGCTGGCTTCCCACCAAAGGGAAAAAGAAACAGGACCGTTTCCTGCAGCTTGACTGAGCCATCTAGGCTGCACTGTAAGGTAACATCACCAGCTTGGCCATCCTCTGATGACAGGCTAAATCCAATGTTAAGACTCCTGTAAGTGCAAGCAGCCACACAGCATGAAATACTGTCCACTGAAACACCCCTCGTCTTGTGCAAATGCTTTTTAAGCATTTTAACACAGTAGTGGCAGGCTTTTTGCCAGGTCGGGCCTTCTCTACCCATGCCACTTCCATTTCACCTTAGATAACAGGTTATCCTCCTGTCTGGGTCTACCATAAAATACATACCATGGGCACCAGCTAAAGCAGCCACTTGGGGTGGACTGGATCCTTCTTTCTGGGTATGCACAGTTCTTGTTAAGGCTGGTGAAGCCACTGCCCACCAGTGTACATGCATGTAGCCTTTGATATAACCTAAAGCATTGTGGAAAACATCATCTTGTTGTAGACTGTGCTAACACAAGACCCCAGGACCTACCTTGGTTGTCCAAGCTGAGGAAATTACAGTGGCCACTGTAAGAAGCTGAAGAGGGTTTGGAGTTGGGGAATGGGAAATTAGCTCAGGGGGCAGGTGCAGGAGGTTGGAAAGAGACAGGTTAAGGGAAGAGGAGACAGGCAAACAGGGAAAGTACATCAGGGAAAAAGGTAGAAGAAGCTGAAAGAGATGGGAAGGAGTGAGGGGGAGCAACCAAGAGCTGAAAGAAGTTGGGCAGAGAGAGATCACACATGTGATCATGTGTTCAAGGCCAGGTTGGATGGGGCTTGGAGCAATCTGGTCTAGTGGAAGGTGTCCTGGCAGAGGGGTTGGGACTTTTAGGTTCCTTCCAACTCAAACCACTCTGTGATTCTATTATTCTATGTTTGCGGACATGTCTGTTCTTGCTTCTTTAATCAGATGGCAGATCCATCCACTACATCCTTCCTCCAGTCCCATATGCTTGCAGATGTGTAGCATGTGGCACTGCCCCTTGCAAACATCCTTGCAAACACCAGACACACAAAACTAGATCTGACTCTGCCAGAAACTAATGTGTGGCCATGTTCCTCGTCCCCAAAGGCTCCCATGCTCACCAGCTGCACTGCTTACCTGGCCCACGGCACCATCTTGCTTGCCAGCTTGTGGCTGATGCAAAACCCAGCCCCTCCTGTGGCAAACCAGAAGCTCACAGATTTCTGGAGAGAAACAGCAGAGAAAAATCAATGGCAGAGGCTCAGACAATATCATACTCCCTGACACGGGAATGCTGGAAACCCAACTTGATGCCAGGATAAACACAACCCTATTGTCACCCCAGAACCTTGACCGCTACCCAGAAGAAGGACTTGCCAGCATTACAGCATGGATTTTGACTTCCTCATATTTAGAGTGGCCAAGTTCCTGCTGGCAGCAGCAGGTGGGCTGTCCAAGGCAGGCTTATCTCCTGGCAGACCAGTGCCCAAAGGCACAGCAGAGATGTGAGACTCTTCCCCTAGGCAGATTGGATTGAGTCAACATCTACAGCCATGTTCAGACAAGACTGGCGAGTGTTCAGCTGTTGCTTGTTGCTTTGGGGACCTGTGTCTCCCTGGGATACAGCTATGGCCAGTGAGCCAGAGCACTGAAAACCAGCCCGCTGGCCCTTGCACCACCACCACCAGCTGTACCGTCTGGTTGTTTGGCAGCGTTTCAGAGGCCCGGATGGGTCGGTTCAGGCTGGGTTTCCCCAGGTAAACGTCCCACGTCGCAGAATAGGATGACAAGAGCTTCAGGAGGGCCTGAGGGTTCAGGTAGTTGTCGTCATCCAAATGGCAAAACCAGCTAGGGGGGCAGATGGGAACAAAGACATAAGATGTTTGTGGCAAGAAGGGTGCATCTTGCTCTCAGGGGTCCCCTTGGGGTAGCCCTGCCTCACCTCTGGCCACTGGCCAAGAAGACATCAAACTCAGCAGCCATCTTGCAGGAGAGGGCCAGGTGGCTGTGTTCGGCAGAGCAGTTGGTGAAGACCACATGGTTGCCTGCCAGGAGAGAGAAAGTTGTGGCTCAGGCCAGCCCACTTCACAGAGTCATGGAGAGGACCTCTGAGTGGGAGGGAAGGGGTTTGTTCACAGTCAACCTCCTCACACCCCCCAAAACAGGTATCCAAGCCCACGGTGGATATGGGCTTCATCCTTCCCCCTATCAAGAGATGAAACCTGGAGGAAGCCAAGCATCTTGGCTGAGACTAGGACACCTGCCAATTGCACTTCCACCCTGCCCACTGCCAGCCAGGGTGTGGAGGCTGAAGGCCTCTCTCTTGGGCTGCTTCCACCCATGGCTGCTTTCAGGCAGGGTACACCCTGCCTCCAGCTGGCTGCATGCCCTGGGGTAAGCCAGCTAAACCAAATCATCACTGCTGCAGCTTGGGGTCCTCCCACAGGACATGGTGAGGGATGTGCTTCAAGAGGCAGGGCTAGCACAGGAGAGACAGCCTTCACATCAGATTCTCTCCCAAGGCAGCGACATTTCAGAGGCTGAAGGCGAGGGGAGGGTTGTTATAGGACAGGTTGTTACCCATTCTCCTTTTCAGGGCATCGTCTTCTTCATCGGTGAAGACGTAGGTCTGGGGAAATGAGGAAAAGAGGTTACTTTCAGGGCTGAAGCTGGTGCTGCTCCTCCCCACTCATCCCCTTCTGGACATGCTCATCATGGTCACCCCACTGCTGCTGCAGTGCCTCCCTCCCCAACAGCAGAGGTGCAGAGGGATGGTCACACAGTCCTACACAGTACAATCATCAGCACTTCTGTGGCTTCATTTCTACTCTCCCCCCCTCTCCCTGCTTAGGACCAAGGAGAAGGGGACCCATGACACTGAGCCAGGGGTTGAGGGAGCCCTGGCTTCGGTGTCGGTGGCAGAAAAATGAAAGCACTGTGGTTGAATGATGCTGGGGTTAAAAGGAGAACATCTGTTTGTGTGTTAACTTTGCACAGTCCCCTGCTGCTTCCCGCCTCCTCCTCCTCTTCCTCCACCCCCAGGCCTCTCTAATCCCCTTCACTGCCTTTATGTGGCACATCTCCCCCTCTTCAGCAGCAGGCGGGGATCAGGGCTGGTGGAGAAAAGCTTCCCTCAGGCAGAAAATGAGCTTTCATGAAATCAAAAAGGAGTCGTGAGCCATAAACAGTCTTTCCACCAGCTGCCCACAGGCTGGTTAAATGCAGCACCTGTGCAGGGACAAAAGAGAGGCCGCCAGACAGCAGCTCCAGGAGCTGTCATTGCTCCCAAAGGCTCTGACGAGGAGACTCCACGTATCCCCACACCCACCCAGCATTTGGAAGACACGGGCCCCATAAGGAGGATGCGGCAAGAGAAACGTTCTGTAGGTAAAAGCAGGCGATGAAAGACCCTCAGAGACCACCTGGCTCGAGCAGACACAGCAGGTTGGTTTCATTACCTCAGACGCAGGCGCTGCAGCGACTCAGTGAAACCACCCTCCGACAGCTGAGCTGCAGCAACAGGACACACACACATTCCTGCCCCCACCAGAAAAGTCTCTCAGTTAAAACCACTTTCAAGGTGACCACAGGATGAGAAGCAATTAGCCAAGACTCAGGTAAAGGAGTCGCTCTGGGTCAGGGGACCTCAGCAAAGCCTCAGGCAAGGCAGGGTTTGTCAGTGGCGTGGGATTTCCCTCACCAGCATCTCAGAGCCAGAAGTTTCTATGCTGACAAATATTTCAGCTTCAGAAAAAAAAAAAACACACAAAAAAAACCTGAAACCACTGAAACTTTCTGACATTTTCAAAAAAACCCCCAAGAAATGTTGTTGCTGGGATCAACTTGCCTACAGCCATAAAGCTGACTAGAAATCATGTGCCTAATAAACAGCATATCCAATTGACTTCAAACGGGAATATGTATATTTTCCCAGATTTTCTATTCGTGAAAATATTCCAAGGTTCTTACTTTCCTCTTGATGCGAGGTGGGAAATGGGTTTTTTTGCAGGCACCAAACATGACCCAAGGATGAAGGTACATTGTCACCATGGGGAGCATCAGACTGTCCAAAATATCTGGAAAAATGAGACTATGAGTGTGGGGACCAGTTAAATCTGATTTCTCTGCATTTCCCAAGCTCTAATCTCCAGCACTCCAGAGATGCTGAAGTATGTGCCCTGGCTCTGTCCTGAAGGAGATCACAACAGTCCCAGCAGCTGCCTGCACCTTGGTCTCTCCATCCCTCGTGCCCCTGAGAGTGGGCAACCTGAAAGAGCAGCTTCTACTGTGCATCCGAGGGACCAGTGCTGTGTGTCCCTCTGCAAAGCCACACATGATGGCTGGGATGGGACAGAGAGAAGAAGGGCCTCAGCTAAAAACCTGCCTGGAGACCATTTGGCACAGTTACACAAGTCTTTCTCAAGGACACACCAGCTGCTCTTGACCATTGTAAGAGAGTCTGGCAGAGATTCAGAAGGTCTCTCTGGCCACACTAGGCCTCTTCTCCCTACTGGGGACATGCAAGCAGAGAAACACCTGGTGTCACTAGCACCCCTGCAAGCAAATGGGACAGAAGCAGCCTCTCCATCAATATCTACCCTCCTGTCTCCAACAGACCATCTACGGGGCCATGCAGGATTTCCATCGTGGTGCCTCAGTGCACTGAGACCATGCCAGGATGGCTCAGTCTTACTGTGGGGCAGCCAATCTAGGCCTGAGGAGGGCTGCAACACAGAAAGCATCCCTCCATTCTGGAGTGGAGAAGCAGTCTGGGTGGGAAAGGATGTGTGTGGGTGGCTGTGAAAGCAGTGACATGAAGCCACCGGTGTCACATGGCTTTGCCTGTTGGTTCTCCATGAACGTAAGAGCCCATGCAATGGATAAACAGCAGACTTTGAGACCTCCTCACCCCAAATTAGGAGAGTAGCCTAGCAAGTAAAAACTAGGAAAAGGGAATTAAGATGTGGAATCTGACAATCCAGGGCCATGTTCAGCTCCCAGGTGAACCCTCCTCTGGGAAGAAACCCCTTTCTCAATGCAAACAACTCCGCACGGTTACTGTTGTGTCCTGCCCTGCAAACAGATCCAAAATCTACAGTGTGTTTACAACACTGAACACGTGAAAGCCTGTTCAGGATGGGTCACTCAAACATTTCATTTCAGTCAGTTGGATGTCTGGGTTTCTGAAATAAGAGGAGGTGCTAGAATTAGTTTACATCCCCAAACAAAATGCTATTTCAGACCAGAAACCTAGACTTATCTCCACCAAAACTACAGGGGCCAGGAATGTAAGCCACTCCAAGATGCTGCTCAGCCTAAACAATCTTCAAAACCAAAAGTCTTCAAAATCTTCTTTTTATTGAGATGAAACCTTTTCTGAGGAAAAGGCCTTTCACTGAAATTACTTCAACATCAAGCTCCACGTTTGTTGTGGATCAGTTCTCAAGAGGCAGAGCGTGGTCCAGCAATGGGTGCTCATCTCACACCAGCTGCATATCTTCTGTTCTGTTTAAACAGCGCAGTTTCAGGGAACATCTCTCTCTTATTGTCTACCCCTGATAGAGTCCAACCTAGAGGACGTTTAATTTGGCTCTCGTACAGCCTGTCCTAGTCATAAAAACCACAGATGTTCCTGCCTCCTGTTACAGTCACCTAAACCTGACCTGTGAGGTCTGGGTTGCTTCCCCCAGGATAACACCATGCAGGTAATGAGCTCTGAAACCAGGTTTGGCATCAGGAGCATGGCCAGCAACTAACATTTCCCCACTGCCCACCTGCAGAGGACCCACTGTCTTCAGCCATGAATAAAGGTAAGCAAGACAGTGGGTCAGCCCTAGGAGAGGGTAGTCTCTGCACAACAGGGCTTCTGAGACTTGGATCTTTCCAAAACTGGTTCCTGAAGCCTGTGATTCTCCATAAAGACTTAGTAATAGGAGGTCTGGTGCCCTGTCCCTGCACCCACAATTAAATGTCCTTTGCAAATTGAGAGCTCTCTTTTATTTTTTGCTAAGGGAGGCTTCTAGATGGGTCTGTTTTTCAAAACTAACCCTTTCCCCTACCTCCAAAAACCCCCTCCAGCAGCATTTCAAAAACACAAAATGCTTTTGACTTTCATGTACTTCTCTTTACCTCCCTCCCTGTTCCCGCTCCCTTGCCCTGAAGGCCATTTAGTTAAAAAAAGCAGAAGAAAAACATGGAAAATTGAGGTGAGGGGGAGGAATACACTGAGCTTGCAGCAAAAATTTAATAACAATCAAAAAAATACTGGTTAGAAATGACTGACACTCCTGCTCTACCCTTTCTCCCGATTCTCATGCTCAGTCTGTGAAGCTTTCCTAGAGGCTGGCAGTAGCATGGAAATTCCAACACCTCTTCCCTGATTTGTACATCATTTGCCTGCCAGAGAGGGTCAGATGAATGTGGGGAACTGGTATCTAATTCCTGTCATCAGTGGAATGGCCAGGCATCTATTTCTCAAACACAGGAGGGGGGAAAGGTGAGATGCTCCTTCAAAACCCACTCCAAATGCCCCCATCACAATATGGTGATGCCATATTGTGGCAAAGAGCTGCTGGGCTGAAGTCAGGTGGAGAGGAGAAGTGCATCTGGAGGAGGAAGCAGGGCATCTCAGATGCTGAGAGGGACATGCAGACGCAGAGGAAGTGTGCTCAAAATAGGACGTGTCTTCCTGTGACAACTGCAGCAGACCAGACAGTTGCAGCACCACGAAGTGGAAAACCACCCTTACCCAGAAAACCCTGCATTGCTTCAAGGGCTCTCCTACCCAATACCTCTGCCCCCATCCCCCTCCATTGCTGGGGCCTGAAATTGTCTCCTAAGCACCCATCACACATGAGCAGAGGCAAAAAAAACAAACAACTCTGTAGGGGCAGCCACAAGATTTCTTCTTTCTTGAGGAGCAGCTCTGCAAGGGAGGGGAAAGAAGTACCCGGGCTCTGGGGAGTACTTCTGCCCACCAGCAAGCCAGTCTGCACACCACCAACGTGGTGCCCCACATCAGTTCCTCCAACAGGAAGGAAACTCTCCAAACTCTGCTTTAGCAAAGATTGAAAACATTAGACCCTCCGTTAAAAAAAAAAACCAACACAAAACTTTGAAAGTCAAATACAGACCCACACCACTTCAAGATCACGCACATGGGAGGATCTGCCCAAAAAAGCAAAGCATGGGTTGTGCTGATTATGTTAGTTATTTTTGCAGGACAACACTGATATGCCAGGAAGCAAACAGGGCTACAAACACCTCCTGCACCCGTGTCCTGCAGTCCTGTTCCCCTGCACGCTGCACCACGCTGTCCTGGGGCAAAGGGAGCCCTGGTGCAAGGCAGGAGTCCTGATGAAGGGCTGGGGGGAGCCACTCAGCTCAAAACCTAGCAACCTCGTGGCACTGGGAGGTAGGAAACCACCATTTTGTACAGACCCAGGACAGTCTGCGCTCTCAGTCTGGTGGGGCCCAGGCAGTTTGTGGCCCCCAGAGTTACTGAATCAAAAAGGGAAATTAAACCCCCTCTGCTTCAAGCTGAAAGTGTCAGGCTTAGGTCAGGGACAGGTGATGCCAGCTAAGAGCACTCATCCAGACTTCATGGGAAGGGCCCATATAAGCTCTTCATCCTCTCTGCCAGCCTTTCCCACAAAACCAGCTGCTGGTGAAACATTTTACTGGGTAGCATCCCCCTTCCAATGTGAACAGAAGCAGGAATTAGGGAAAATGAGACTAACTCCTGGGTGGGATTGCAGTGCCCACCTTTCCCTTCCATTGGCCTTTATGCCTTCCACCCAATCCAGCAGCTGTTACCAAGCACCCCCTCTCTAGCCCAAATCCACACACTCACCTGCTCCATTGCTCGGGATATCCACGTGTCCAGGAGCAGCTCCATCCTGCTACGGTGAAATCTCTTGGTTGTCTTCACCGCGATGAAAACGTCCGCGAGGCTCAGGCTTCCCTCAGCCCGGTACCCCTCCAGAGGGTGAACCTGCAGGTCCTTCTGTCCCCTGCCACCGCCTCCCGGGGCACCCTCTGGGCTCGCTTTGCTCTGTCTCTCTGTCTTGCCCCTCAGCCCTTCCCGGAGCCCTGGGTACCCGGCCGTTTCCCGAGCCCCGCGGTGCCGCACCGAGAGGAGAGCCACGCTGGCAAGGAACTCCCTCCCTGTTCCCGCTCCCTTGCCCTGAAGGCCATTTAGTTAAAAAAAGCAGAAGAAAAACATGGAAAATTGAGGTGAGGGGGAGGAATACACTGAGCTTGCAGCAAAAATTTAATAACAATCAAAAAAATACTGGTTAGAAATGACTGACACTCCTGCTCTACCCTTTCTCCCGATTCTCATGCTCAGTCTGTGAAGCTTTCCTAGAGGCTGGCAGTAGCATGGAAATTCCAACACCTCTTCCCTGATTTGTACATCATTTGCCTGCCAGAGAGGGTCAGATGAATGTGGGGAACTGGTATCTAATTCCTGTCATCAGTGGAATGGCCAGGCATCTATTTCTCAAACACAGGAGGGGGGAAAGGTGAGATGCTCCTTCAAAACCCACTCCAAATGCCCCCATCACAATATGGTGATGCCATATTGTGGCAAAGAGCTGCTGGGCTGAAGTCAGGTGGAGAGGAGAAGTGCATCTGGAGGAGGAAGCAGGGCATCTCAGATGCTGAGAGGGACATGCAGACGCAGAGGAAGTGTGCTCAAAATAGGACGTGTCTTCCTGTGACAACTGCAGCAGACCAGACAGTTGCAGCACCACGAAGTGGAAAACCACCCTTACCCAGAAAACCCTGCATTGCTTCAAGGGCTCTCCTACCCAATACCTCTGCCCCCATCCCCCTCCATTGCTGGGGCCTGAAATTGTCTCCTAAGCACCCATCACACATGAGCAGAGGCAAAAAAAACAAACAACTCTGTAGGGGCAGCCACAAGATTTCTTCTTTCTTGAGGAGCAGCTCTGCAAGGGAGGGGAAAGAAGTACCCGGGCTCTGGGGAGTACTTCTGCCCACCAGCAAGCCAGTCTGCACACCACCAACGTGGTGCCCCACATCAGTTCCTCCAACAGGAAGGAAACTCTCCAAACTCTGCTTTAGCAAAGATTGAAAACATTAGACCCTCCGTTAAAAAAAAAAACCAACACAAAACTTTGAAAGTCAAATACAGACCCACACCACTTCAAGATCACGCACATGGGAGGATCTGCCCAAAAAAGCAAAGCATGGGTTGTGCTGATTATGTTAGTTATTTTTGCAGGACAACACTGATATGCCAGGAAGCAAACAGGGCTACAAACACCTCCTGCACCCGTGTCCTGCAGTCCTGTTCCCCTGCACGCTGCACCACGCTGTCCTGGGGCAAAGGGAGCCCTGGTGCAAGGCAGGAGTCCTGATGAAGGGCTGGGGGGAGCCACTCAGCTCAAAACCTAGCAACCTCGTGGCACTGGGAGGTAGGAAACCACCATTTTGTACAGACCCAGGACAGTCTGCGCTCTCAGTCTGGTGGGGCCCAGGCAGTTTGTGGCCCCCAGAGTTACTGAATCAAAAAGGGAAATTAAACCCCCTCTGCTTCAAGCTGAAAGTGTCAGGCTTAGGTCAGGGACAGGTGATGCCAGCTAAGAGCACTCATCCAGACTTCATGGGAAGGGCCCATATAAGCTCTTCATCCTCTCTGCCAGCCTTTCCCACAAAACCAGCTGCTGGTGAAACATTTTACTGGGTAGCATCCCCCTTCCAATGTGAACAGAAGCAGGAATTAGGGAAAATGAGACTAACTCCTGGGTGGGATTGCAGTGCCCACCTTTCCCTTCCATTGGCCTTTATGCCTTCCACCCAATCCAGCAGCTGTTACCAAGCACCCCCTCTCTAGCCCAAATCCACACACTCACCTGCTCCATTGCTCGGGATATCCACGTGTCCAGGAGCAGCTCCATCCTGCTACGGTGAAATCTCTTGGTTGTCTTCACCGCGATGAAAACGTCCGCGAGGCTCAGGCTTCCCTCAGCCCGGTACCCCTCCAGAGGGTGAACCTGCAGGTCCTTCTGTCCCCTGCCACCGCCTCCCGGGGCACCCTCTGGGCTCGCTTTGCTCTGTCTCTCTGTCTTGCCCCTCAGCCCTTCCCGGAGCCCTGGGTACCCGGCCGTTTCCCGAGCCCCGCGGTGCCGCACCGAGATGGCTCCCAGCTGCTTCCCCTGCTGCAGCCAGTGTCCTCTCAAAAAAAGGACAACCTCTGCCTCCACACGAGGCTGCCCACTCTTCTCAAAGCCTCCAAAGGGGCAGGACAAACCAAGGGCGAGCTCTGAATTAAGACGTGGCCAAGGAATAAGGTGGCTGAAGACCCAGAAGCCAAAGAGACAGCAGCTCCAGAGGGTACCAGTGAAGCAGGGAGAATTTTCACAGGCTAAGAAGGCTTGGTGTCCCAGCGAGGCAGGGACACAAGGTGGGAAAACACTCCGAGGCGACGGGCAGGCGGCTGGCAGAGCCCGTCAGGGGGCAAGCGAGCATCCCCGCTCCCCGTGGAGATGCCGAGGGTCCCAGGGTGGGGATCGAGGGGGCAGCAAACCAGGTCTGAGCCACCAGTGGGGGAGTCTGGACCGAAAGCATCTGTCCCTCAGAAGCCACCAGGCTGCACAGACGAGG